AATACAACACATCAGAAATTCTGGAGATGGAGCTCAGCAATCTGTGTTTTAACGAGACCTCCAGGTGATTCTTATCACTGAATTTGAGAACCACTGCTCTATCCATATTGGACTTACCTCATTTTGGATCCTATTCCCCAGCACTTTGCAAAAAACCCTGCCACATTTCTACGGGTGTCACCGTCTCTTCTTCTGCCCGATGAACTCCTTCTTTTTCTGTCATGCAGTCTGATAAGTTCTTGTTGAATCAAATGAGGTAATATGTTGGATCCACCTTAAAGTGTAACCCTAACTAGAGTCACTGAGGGTCTAAGAATATTGATGAGGAATCCTCTAAAGAGAGTTAAAGTGGACAATTAACTTGGGAAGGTCCTTCCTGACACATGTGACCCCTGACACTCCCCACATTCAGTTGGTACTTGTATAGTGAAGCATCAGTCTGGTTGTGCCCTGGTACTCTTGTTGCTAAATACACTCAGCACGGGTGACTCCCAGTATAACACAGGCTGCACCTAAGTCCTGAGTGGGAGCAGACTGTCCCCATGGTGGGCTGCAGGAGGTAACTAAACAAAGGATCAGACACTCACCCTGTGGCTTCATTATTAGCTACATTCTCAGAATGAAATTGAGAATTTTACTTAAACTCAAGTATATCATGTTCTCAAACAATATAAATCAGTGGCCCTGTAGCTTTTTCCTCCTCCAAGCAGCACAAGACACATATCAATGACAGGTAGTTGTTCATACCCAGGTTTTAAATGTTGGTCGCTATGGCTTGGGATAATTAGGATATGTTTCCTAATGTTCTTAAATCCACATCTTCTTTTTTTTTTTTTAACAGCTTTATTGAGATATAATCACGTCCTCTTTTGATTTGCTGTTCTATCCCTGTATCACCATTTATTTCCCTTGGGCAAGATTCATTGGTACTAATGATTTTTTAAACTAAAAACTGTATGATTTTAAACATAATAAAGATAGATAGTTAAACATTTTTGGACATCATAAAAGGTCATAAATAAAAACAAAGTCTCCTTCCATAGTCATCGACTTCCTCAGTCTGCAAAACTCCAATATACCACTCATGTAACTACTGTTTAGTTTGTGTCTAGATTGTGTTTATGTATATTATACATGTAAATAACATAATTTCCCGACATTTTGTACAGTAGGATTATAATATATGCACATTCTGCATCCCCTGAAAGGTGGTTAATTATCAATCGTGTTGGATTAACTAGATCTATAAATTGTGTTACTTAATGCTTAGACATATACTATTTCATTTGGTTCATAAGAGCTCTTTGAAAAGCCCTACTGTACATGTAAAAAAAAGGAAGGCCTAGAGGCAATAGGTGATTTTTAAACATAAAGGAGTTACACGAGGAACTAGAACTTGACCTCAGGGCTTTTGGATTCATTTGTCTTGCTCGTTCAATGATAATAAGTCCCTTTTATGACACTGATGTACTCAAAATGGTTTTTGGACCACGCCAATTTGTCCTCTTGACAAAGTCTTATTGCTGAGTGACCATTAGTAGCTTTCAAAAATTAGATGTGGATGAGGGTTATTGGTCCTTTCCCCATAATCTCACTGCCAGGTGATATGGTTCAATAAACACAGTCTCAAACACAAATCAGTTGCACACATTTTTTTTTTTTTAACCAAGGAGGCATGAAAATCAACCTATGACCTGTTGTTCTATAAACTCGGCTCTGTTCTCGATATTTCAACAAGCATGTGACAAAAAGTTTCAATCAGAGACAAAGTTCTGAAAGGAGGAGTTAGATCAAAGCAGACTCTTCCTTGGTCAATAGTGTGGGCACAGCACGCAACAGTATTCTAGAGCTAGTGCTATGGTCTAAATGTTTGGGTCCCCCCAGAATTGATATGTTGAAATTCTAACCTCTGAGGTAATGACATTAAGTGATGAGGCTTTGAAATGTGATTAGGTCATAAGGGCAGAGCCCTCATAAATGGAATTAGTGCTGTCATAAAATAAACCTCACACAGCAACCTTCTGCCACGTGAGGGCACAGTAAAAAGACAGCAATCTAAGAAGCAGGCTCTCAGCCAACGCTGAGTCTACCAGTGCCTTGACCTTGAATTTCCCAGCCTCCAGAACTGTGATAAGTAAATGTTCATTGTTTATAAGTCACCAATGCATGTTTTTTGGTTTTGTTTGTTTTTGTTTTTGTTTTTCTGTTATGGCAGCCCTAATGGGCTAAGATAGCCTGGAACCCATTCCATTGGTGTGAGGATGCTGGCTTCCTTGTTCTGTTGTTACTCTAGGCAGAGCAGGAGCTGCTTGTACAAGTCTTGCTGATCCATATATTTTGCCTTCACCATAAATCATTATCTCTCATATCACTTGAACTAATGAGTGAATTCTCTAAGTGCAGATTTAGATGGTGACACTTGCTATGGCTGTCTCCAAAGATCGGAATTCTTTAATGCTGACTAACCAGGCTTGGGATTTGAGTGATTAATTATGCTATTCAAATGATAACTTAATCACTTCAAAAATTTAAAGTTAATATGCATGCGCATGTACACATATGCGTGCACATGCATGCACACATATACACACACCACCCCTCTGCCTAAAGTGAAGAATTTTAAAACAACTTATAGATGACGCAGCACTCTCGACCGAAGAATATGCCTCTTTACTCCCTTCTTCATGCTATGCTGGGAAGCAGCAAAAATAGTGATATGGAACATAAACTGTAGAGTCACTTGACCTGAGCTCAAATGGAATCTCTGATATTTCTTAGTTATGTAACCTTAAGCAAGTTGACTAGCCTCTCTAAGCCTCACTTTTCCTTATTTGTAAATTGAGGGTAATAAAAAGTAATGTGACAATAAGTGATAAAAAAAAATGCTTAGCACATGAGATAATTATTACTATTTCAGCATCCACTCCATTTCTTTTTGTTCTCTTAATTTTTTTTTCTCCCAAGCTCACATCTCAAGTACAAAGTTGTGTGGCTGGCACTGGAAGACCTAGGGATCAGTGGGATGGGGGTCTCTCCCCACAATGCTTCTTCTACACCTTCATGTGGAGGTTCAGATTTAATAGATGGTTAATGTTTATTGACATCTTGGAATGTACCAAGCACAGTGTTGAACATTTTGCACTCATCATAATGTTTGATTATCAGTCACCTGCGATGTTCCTTTACATAAGAAGAATCTGCAGCATAAGAAAGATGAGCACCTTATCTAAGCTGGATCCAAACCTGGGCAGCTTGAGCTCCAAACACTGCACACACATCTGCACCATAGCTCCTGGTCCTCAGCTTTGGGAGCATTCCTCTTTTCTTCATATCCCTCTTACTAAGTCCTCATGAAAATAGCATTAAATTCATCCTCTGCCTGAACTCTTTTCAAATTCATCATCTTAAAAATAATTATCTTATTAATACAACTCTAGATGTCACAGTGTTCCCTTAGTACAGCCCTTCTTCTCCAGCTTTAATAAAGGCAGCATAGCTAATGGCACAGGCTCTGGAGACAGACAGCCTGACTCTGCCACCCATGAGCTGTGTGACCCAGGACAAGTTACACAGCCATTCTGTGCCACAGTTTTCTTATCTATAAAATTGGAGTAATGTTACCTACCTCAGAAGTTGTTAACATAGGCAAAGTTCTAAGCACAAGGGAAGGCACATGGTAGGTGCTACATAAGAAGTAGACTTTACTATGACAGCATAATTATGTATTCATACTATAATTATGTATCCCGTAGGTCAAGCAAATCCTGTTCTCTCAACACATTTGGCTCAGTTAAACTCAATGGATTACTATTTCTTTCGTTGGTAAATAAAACAGATCGTGCTTGAAGATGTTGCTTCGCTCTGCCCAGTTCCTTAGTCTTTCTCATCCCCAGCCCTTGTACCACCAGCCTAGTTTTCATTAGGATTGCGGGATGTGCCTTCTTTGCCTGGTAGGAACTGAAGACCCAGAAGAAAGATCAAGGAGTCTTTCGAAAGTCTAACCTCCAGAAAACAACAACAACAACAACAACAACAACAACAACAACAACAACAACAAAAACTATTGTCTCTTCCTCCCTAATCGGCTCATCTTACTGTCACCTATTCTATTTATTTCTTTTCTTTCATTTTTCTCGATTTTTCTTTATCCCATTTATGATGGAGGAAGATACTGATATTCACAAATCCATCCAGGCAACAAATTAAACTGGGCATCCACCATATTCAGCATTCTGAAGCAAAGTATGAGGTCAGGAGGTAATGTCCTGTGCCCGGAATCTTTAGAAGGGTGAGTTACAGCTCTTTGCTTCCATTATCTTCCTAGTGTCTTGGGAGCAATTCTCCGTTTCTTATCAAGTCTTACCTTCCAGAAACCTCAAATTCAGGCTCTGAACTCGAGCTTCCCCATTCAGTCTATTTAAGGAGCTGAGGTTAGAATTCTGCAGCTTTTAAGGTTCAAATTCCCTCTATCCATCAACAGGTGTGTTCTCGCCACAGCTGCCGTGAGAACACCAGACTTTTTCCTAGGGCTCCGGATTCCCTCTCTGTACTTTAAGCCTCAAAGGAAAAAAAAAAAAAAGAATCCCCTGAGTCAAGGTTTCACCTTGAATCTCGCACGTAAAGGTGTCCTTACATCTCCTGCGTTAGGGTAGCTTTGAATACCCCACATAAAGATGACCTTGAACGTGGAGCGGGGGGCGAGGCGGGGCG